AGGTGAGGAGGGGTGAGGACAAGTGAGGTGAGGTCAGGTGAGGACAGGTGAGGAGGGGTGAGGACAGGTGAGGAGGGGTGAGGACAGGTGAGGACAGGTGAGGTGAGGTCAGGTGAGGTCAGGTGAGGACAGGTGAGGAGGGGTGAGGACAGGTGAGGAGGGGTAAGGACAGGTGAGGACAGGTGAGGTGAGGTCAGGTGAGGTCAGGTGAGGACAGGTGAGGAGGGGTGAGGACAGGTGAGGAGGGGTGAGGACAGGTGAGGTCAGGTGAGGAGAGGTGAGGACAGGTGAGGACAGGTGAGGAGAGGTGAGGACAGGTGAGGACAGGTGAGGAGAGGTAAGGACAGGTGAGGACAGGTGAGGAGGGGTGAGGACAGGTGAGGTCAGGTGAGGTCAGGTGAGGACAGGTGAGGACAGGTGAGGATAATGATCAGTACTCTTGTCAGTGATCTCTGAAGATAGTAAAGATTTAGATGCCGTTCCAAAATCTGTGGATATTTCTAACGGAGCCACTGAAGCAGGTCGCAAACAGTTTCTGCAGTTCACCAACAGGAAGTGACGTCATAAAACCTGTTCGTTATCTTTCACGCAGGCGTCACAAACTGTCACAGATTTGTTTTGTGTTTTCGCTCCTGGTGATAGAGGTGTGTGTACCTGGAGTATTGAGCGGTCCAGGAGAGGGGACTCCATAGTTCTGGGGGGTCCGGGCGTTGGCGGGGCTCTGTGAGGGCTGAGGGGAGGGGCTGGGCTGGAAACCCCCCGGAGACGGAGTGGGACCGGAGCTGGAGACAGGAAGTGCTGTTAGAAACAGAATCATAGTCGGTGCTGGGTGCTGGTGAATGTGAACACCTGGTTGTACCTGGCTGAGTTGGGCTGTGAGGTGGGGGGCTGAGGTGACGGCTGGGGGGGCGGAGGCATGGACTGTGGCGTCTGCACCTGTACAGGTGAAGGTGATGACATCATGGAATGCTGCTGTACCTGTGGAGGACAGTGATTGGACAAAAGAAGAATTAGCCAATCAGAGATATGTAGCAGCAGATTCTCATCTTTAAAATCCTCAAACCATCAAATGTGTTTTTTACTCCAAATACTGAATTCAAAGATTCTCCAAAGAGCTGCAGATTAATTTTCTTTTGATCGACATCAATGAATCGATCAATCGCTGCAGCTCTGACTGCATTTACATACAAACCCTGCATCTTATCTTTGACTGATGCTCAGCTCTGGGGGGTCAGAGGTCAGACTGAGGATAAATACCTGCTGTGTCATTGGCTGTCCTCCCACCGCAGCAGCTGCAGCGGCGGCGGCAGCAGCGGCGGCGGCGGCGGCAGCAGCAGCGTTTGGAGGAGGGATGGAGGGATTGAGGGGAGGCCGAGGCAGCCGGGGAGGAATCTGCATCCCAGGGCGAACCAACTTCAGAGGACAGAGACACGACAGAGACGACAGGACAGGTGAGCAGAGAGCAGGCAGGAGAACACTGCAGCACACACAGGACTGTGTCTATACTTGTGAGGACCCTGATCCAGACCTCCTAAGCCCAGGATGCAGCGACGGTGCTCTTGCAAACAAGTGTCGGAGGTGGAACTTGTTTTAGTGAAACATTTGCACATTGGAAAGCGAACATTGTCATTAAAATGGCTCCGTAAAACAAAATGCCACAAAACCTCATTAACAGTCGTCTGTTACTGTGTGAGTCAACCTTAGACAGATACACTAGATACATGATGTGATTATTAAAACACTATTAAAGTTATTTAAACCATTCATCAGTTACTTTACTGTTTCAACAGCTATCTGTTACTTTTAGCTAAGTGTTTCAATAGCTTTCAATAATTAGCTATTTCTTTTAGCTAACTAAAGCTATTTAAACTATGTATAAGTTACTTTTAGCTAAGTGTTTCAATAGCTTTCAATAGTTAGCTATTTCTTTTAGCTAACTAAAGCTATTTAAACTATGTATAAGTTACTTTTAGCTAAGTGTTTCAACAGTTATCTGTTACTTTTATCTATCCTGTTTCAACAGTTAGCTATTTCTTTTAGCTAACTAAAGCTATTTAAACTGTGTATAAGTTACTTTTAGCTAACTGTTTCAACAGTTAGCTACATCTTTTAGCTAACTAAAGCTATTTAAACTGTTTAGCAGTTACTTTTAGCTATCCTGTTTCAACAGCTATCTGTTACTTTTAGCTATCCTGTTTCAACAGTTAGCTATTTCTTTTAGCTAACTAAAGCTATTTAAACTGTTTAGCAGTTACTTTTAGCTATCCTGTTTCAACAGCTATCTGTTACTTTTAGCTATCCTGTTTCAACAGTTAGCTATTTCTTTTAGCTAACTAAAGCTATTTAAACTGTTTAGCAGTTACTTTTAGCTA